CCCTCCCCAGGGGTAAAGAGTGCTTTTATTCTCCTGTTTCCTTTCCTAGGTGCAAAGGGTTTGCACCACTGCCTTCAGGCCATAACTCTCAGCCTTTGGCCTGCAGTTTAATTCTTTGATTTCCTAGCACAAATAGGGAACATGAATCTGGGCGGTGGCTCATCGGTGGCTGTCATTTTTCTTCCACCAGTGCCCTCAGGCTGTAAATTTTGTTGACTTCCACTGAAAAGTGAGACTTTTATTTCCCCCCATAGGGGATTTGGGGCTATATGGAGTTTCAGCAGCGCCTACTGTTTACCTTCCCCAGCCCCGGAGCTTTCTCAAGCTTCTTCCTTAGGAGCCTGGCAGGACTGCTGGGGGAAAACCTAACAGGAGTTTAAACCTTTCAATGCCTGCAGCTCCCAGGTTTCCCACTTTCACATTGGCCCGCACGCGGCCTTTACCAATTCATTAAAAATGTTTCATCTTCTTACCGAACTTTGTCCCGGGTAGTGAACACTCAGGTCCAGTTTCAGGATAGTTGTTTGCCCATGACCTCAGTTTTCCAATGGGCTCAAGAAGAGTCATTAATTTTCCGTTTCTCCAACTTTTTTCTTCTTGTAAGGGTAGGAGTGATTTTTTTTCCAACTATCATCGTTAGCTGAAACTGGAAGTCTTGTGGTTTCTTTTGGTGAATATAGGTCCTTATTTCTGGTGAAGCCAAATTTATCCGTCTTTTTCCTTGGTTTGTACTTTTCATGTTTTGTTGCTTGACAATCGCATATGAATGAATTCTTTTTACTGACACAGGTATTAAGGCAAAACAGACTACGCTCTAGAAATTTCATGGAAGGTTAGAATATTTGACCCTTGCATCGAGGCTTGGAGTTTCCCTGTGAGAGAGTTATTAACTACCAATTCAATTTCTTTGTGAAAATAGAACAAGTTATTATTTCTATTTCTTCTTGAGTCAGTCTGGTAAGTTGTATTTTTCGTAGGAATTTGTCTATCTCATCTGCTTCAAATTTATCAGCATTTTGCTCAGTATGGCCTGTACTATAAATGTGTTATCATTACACCTCACATTTTGTATTTATGCCTTCTGGCTTATTTTTTCCTTTGATCAACTTCACCAAAGGCCTTACTATTTTATTAGTTTATTTAAGAAATGAATTTTTGGCTTTGTTGCTATTTGCTGTTGTCTTTTGGTTTCTATTTCATTGATTTCTGCTTTTCTTGTTATTATTTCATTCCTACTATTTTTTCTTGGGGTTTATCTGGCAGTTTCCCACGATCAAGTTGAAGAGTATATAAAGGACTAGACCTGAGCGGGTCGGGTCCTAAACAGATACGTGTAAATTACAAGGTGGCCACACCCTCAGCGGGCCTGTTCCTGCCACACTGCCACCTTTCTTCAGCTCCCCTCAAGGTCTCCAAGAAAGGTCGCTCCCCGTGATCTGAGGAGGGGAAACGTTTTGCTGATGTATGTGACATGCGGGGGCCTGGCAGGAGTGGACAGCTGTGGGAGAACAGCCTGATTTAGGGGAGACGCTGAAGGATAGTGTAGGAAGTTCTTCCATCGGGCAGGTCATTTCACGATATTCCACAGAGCACACAGCTTCCCCAAGGAATTCACTCTAAGGCGAAATAAGCACATTCACCTTACAGGATGTGCTCACCTGACGATGCATCCTACACTTGGTGACACAGTGAAGTGCCTCAGGGCGGGAGGGGGCGGCAGATGTGCTTGGGACCCAGGGATTCCCTGTGTGTCTCCTAGGACTCTCACGTCCAGTCGTAACAGAAAATGGGAAAGCTCTCCCTGACGGCATCCCTGAAAACAGCTCTCAGAATGAAGTCCAGTGTCGAGCAGTAACGGTGTCGGGTGCAAGCTGAGGCCACCCTGCTCAGTGCTGGTGCACGCGGTGTCCCCAGCAGCCGAGTTCAGGGGAAGGAGTTCTGGGTGCTGTTTCTGACTTAAGCCTGGCTCTTTAACCATCTCAAGTGACTCTTAGTTAACTCACTATCTTCTCAATACATTCACTTTCTGTTTAAAGCAGAGTTGATTTCTGAGGTTTGAAACTGACACCCCTGGTTTTTATAGTGGAATAAGTGGGGCAGGGGGAGCAGACTAGAAGGTTCAGTTGTGTCCTCCCCAAAAGATGTCTTCCAGTCCTAATCCCCTGTACCTGGCACCTGTGAATGTGACCTTATTTGGAAATAAGAGTCTTTGCAGATGTAATCTTGTTAAGGTGGGGTCACACCTGATTAGGGTGGGCCTCAAATCCAGCGGCTGGTGTCTTTGTAAGAGCAGAGACAGACACATGGAAGAAGGCCACGCAATACAGAGTCATGGGCGAAGAGATGCAAGCCAAGGAACCCCAAAGATTGCTTACCGGGAAGAAGCAGAGGGGAGCTTCTGCTTCAGGGGAGCACGGCCCTGCCCATTGCAGAGTTCTGGCCTCCAGGACCGAGAGAGGACACATTTATGTTGCTTTAGGCCACCCGGTTTGCGGCCTATGTTACCGCAGCCTTGGGAAACTAATACTTCATTCAAGGTGCCCTGAGTCTGTGAAAAGATTCAGTTCTGGGAATTGGATGCATGGCTGGCTGTTTCTCTATTGTGATGATTCAACACAGGTCTGTCTGCTAGGCCGAGAGGTCAGACACTCGTGGGCTGCCCATCCATTTTGGCCCTACGGGATCCGTGATTATTAGCGACTGTCCCCAATTCCCTTCCCGAGACTGTGCTGATTACCATGCTGGTATCATACCCACCTTTCGTCCTGGAAATGGGATCCTGCTCTTGCCTCTGCTACCAGGGAGTCTGCTGTCCATCCCCACTGAAATCAGCAGCACCTCCCAGCATACCTGGCCAGTGAGGAACGTGCTGCTAAGTCCCTGCAAGAATACCCCAAATTTAATCAAATCCGAGACACCATCAATAAGACACACTGTTGTCTTACGAACCGCTTAGGGGGGGACAGAAAACACTGGCGAAGTGTGGTGACTTACAGTAGTTTGTAATACACCCTCATATCAGAAACATGAAAAAACGTGCGTCTTAAGACTCATGAAATACAGTGTTTCTCAAAGCCTTGGTGGGGGGGTCATTTAAGCTCTTTTAAGGACCAAAGTTAGAATGTGAGTGAGCAGATCACACATGATAATCCACTAACACTTCTATCTCTAAAGCCTTGGATTCTTCATAATTTTTTTAAAAATTGATTTATTGGGGTGACATTGATTAATAAAATTATACGGGATTCAGGCATACAATTCTATAATATATCATCTGTATATTGTACTATGTGTTCACTACCCCAAGTCAAGTCCCATCACCATTTATCCCCCCTTTTTCTCTTCCTCTACCTCCCCCCAGCCCCCTTCCCTCTGGCAGTCGACTCTTCCTATTCTTTATCCCAGGGCATTTTGGGCAACTTAACTTTATTTAATGGGGACTACCCTTGAGCCCAGGTTTCAGTCAACCAGCTAAGAAACCAATGAGAACTCTTTCTAGCTGCTTGAGTCAGCATATTGAACCCCAAATCCCTGGTATGCATGCCTGTGTTGATCAGTTCAGCCTGGTATAAAATTATGATTATCCCTTCTGATCTAGCACCCTCATATTTGCTAGACTTTACGCAGATATTTTCTAGTATAAGTCTTCTCCTGGGTCGATTCTGTATTTGTGTTTCTGTGGCATACTGGAGTCTCACTGTTGTCGTAGGTTTGGGGGAAACGAGGAGCGGTGGAGATGAGGAGCTCAGGGGAGGCCACTAAGGGTTTTCGAGCAAGATGGTAGCTGCATCGTCAGACAGGGACAGTGGCCGAGTCTACTGGCAAGTGAGCCACTGCGGATGGAGACTTACGGGGACTCTGATTCAGCCGCCACCTCTCACATATCACCATTGCAACGCTCAAGGCCCTATTTTCACACAGGACAACTGGTGCAGTTACGAGTCAAACTAACACTGTAATTTGGCAACTCATGGGATCAAACACTTGTCTTCTCTTAGCCTTTCTCTCTCCTTTGGGGCCTTTGCAGGTTCCGTTCCTTCTGCCGGGTACACTTTTCCTCTCATTTCCCCACACAGCCTTCTCCTTGCTGTCCTTCGGGCCTTAGCCTAACAGCCGCCTCTGAGCTTCCTTTCCTTGGCTCCCCGTCTGAACGGCTCCCGCCTGTTCTCTGTGTCATTTGCTCATTCACGCCCTCCACGGAGGCCAAGAATCTGAGGTTCCCTTGTTCTGTCTACTTGTTTAACCTGCGTCCCACTCCCTGGCATGTAAGCTCCCTGAAGGAATGGATGATGTATTTTATTCAGCACTGAATCCCAGGGCCCAGAGAACCTGCCACTGAATGGCTCCCTCAAGAAAAAATTCGTTAAACAAAGAAGCAGAGGACCTTCGCCCCCGACCCCCTGACAAGGTGAAGCTACCAAGCTAAACACAGTCAGCACGTTGCACTTTCCCTCCTCCGAACGTCCCACAATTATACTTAGAGAGAAATTTGTCGTGGCAGCTTGATGGTCAGTTTCCCCTTCCAGATGACACCACCCCGAGCACAGGCATGCCTCTCCGGCCTGCCGAGGACAGGGCAGTGCCACAGCGGGAGTCTGCTGGGTCCCCTGCAGGGTCGTGCGCCTGGGAGCGAGGGAGGGAGGACAGGTGATCCTGGCGGCCTGGTTCTGTGGTGTCAGACGGGAAGCTCCAGGGCATGTGCGCGGGCCGGTGGGCAGGGCAGGGGGTCCACTGTGGGCTCCACGCACAGCGGGACTAGCTGGCCTTGCCTTTCATTCGCCAGGGCTTCCATTGACTTTCTCTGCTTCACTCTCAGTCTCCCCCTTAGAGGCTTCTTGAATCCCAGAAAAATCTGGGCCCATCAAGGGCCCAGGCCTTCGGCGGGGTGAATGGCAGAGACGGGAGCAAGGCCCTGGATCCCGGGGAGGCGCCGGAGAAGGGGGCAGAGGAGAACTTCCAGCTGACGCCCTAATTTGATTCTGTGTTGTCTTTGTGACCAGATCCCAAGCCCTCAACCGGACCTGCAACCACAAACAAGCCAAGCACAAGGCTAACAACCAACGTTAACACAGTGGGTCCCACCACAGCCAAACACAGCCCCGTTGTGACATCGGCTGCCCAAGCCGGCGGAAACACACCCACAGGGTCCAGTGCCTCAGGGCTGGCTCCAGCCACAGCCCAGCCGACCACAGCTACAGCGGCCAGCGACCAAGATAAGAAAGCAGCCTCCGTCAGCGCGGCCACCACTGTGGGTGCCCAGAAGGGGATCCAAACTTCAGATCAGATGACAGCTATCCCGGCGACTACCCCGGTAAAGTTGGAAACCACGAGCAGCCAGAACGGGATTAAAGTTACAACCCAGGCTGCAACTCAAACTAGAACCAGTGCTGCTACGTACATCATGACCACTAAGGGGACCCTTCAACCTCCACATGGGGTTAACACCTCAGACGCTACTACTGTTGGTCCTTCCTTGGCCCCCCCAATGGGCACTCCACAACCGACTCCGCGCCCTGTTACTCCGAATCCCCTGGGGAGCTCTCCTGAGGCACCAAACAAAATGACTACGGCTTCAAGTGGCCCAGGCATGACGACAGGGAACACCAGCGCATCTCAGGGGACATCCTCCACACTCAGTAAGTAATGCTTTTTATTTTCAAGCACGAAGAAACTTATATTTTTAATCCTCGCCAGAGGATATGTTTTTATTGGTTTTGGGCTGGGGCGGGGGGCATTGATCGGTTGCCTCTTGTACGTGCCCCAGCTGGGGATTGAACCCGCAACCTTTTGGTGTACCGGGCGATCCTCCGACCGACGGAGCCACCCAACCAGGGCAAGAAGAACCCTAAATGCTTAGAATCTCTACAGCTGCTCAGCTGGAAGACGGAGATTCATGCTCAGGGTTCAACGCTGTTAAACAGACGCCACCTTCACTCAGCCCGTTTCCCATTTCACTGAGGAGCAGCAGTGCTGTGTACCGAGAGGTCGGTGTCGTGCCCTGCCCGGGGGTGCACAGAAACACGCCAGCTGGCTATTCGTGGGCAAGACTCTGAGAGGCGCCAGTGGCGGGGTATTATTAGAAATTCTCTGGAACAGCGTTTCTCAAACGTGTTTGATGGCAGTCTACTCTAAGAAATACACTGTTTTTGCACCATGATGCCGGACACATACATGTCAAGTATATGTAACACACACATAACTGATACAGATTTTCACTAACCAGGGCTTATCCTTACTATATGTGACTCACTCCAATATTATCTATTTCATTCCATTTCCTTTTTTTTTTTAAAGTGCTGGTCTTAGCCCAGTAAATTAATTTCGGAACTCACTGATGGATCGTGAGCCTCCAGGTCATGAGCCATGTCAGATCTATTGAATCAGAATGTCTGAGTGCAACCCTGAGAATCTGCATCCTCAAGATCTCCCAGGGTAATCTGGGTGCATACCGAAGTTAACACACTGCCGCACCGGGAAAGCATGGTCCGGTCCTTCTGTAAGAGCAAGGGCTCTGAGGTGGATGAACCTGGATTGAAATCCTGACTCTGCCACTTGTTAGCATGTGGCATGAGGCAAATCGTCAAGCTCCTCTGAACTTCAGCTGCCTTGTTTATAAAGTAGGGATGCCTTCCTCCTAGGGTTGTTGTGAGCATTAAATAAGAAAGTACCTTTGAAGCACTTAGGATGGTCCCTCCAGGACGCCAGCGCCTGGGTAATGTTAGCTAATGCTACCCACGTCCCCTGTCATTGTTGGGACTTTCATCTTTTTCTTACGCTGGCTCGCCCAGCCGGACCCATCCTGCACTGTTACAGGAATTGACCTTCTCTGCCTGTTCCACCCAGGCGGGGAGTAAGACCAAAGAACCTGAGGAAACTGAGAGCAAGGCAGGCTGGCCTTTTCTCTGAAAGGGGCCACTCATCTTTTCTCGCCACCTTTGTCTTCCCAGTTACAGCACCACCACTGGTGGTTACTTCACAAGGAAGTCAGCAGAACTGCAGCAAGGTGACAGCCATCACTGGGGCCTCTCCCTCCGTCACTGGGACCTCTTCCTCTAAGACTCTGCGGCCTGCTGTTCCTTCTTCAGGACCCATGGCCACGCCGCCTGTTGGACCCACAGGCTCCAGCACTCAGTTGGCTCCAACTCCCCACCAACACTCCAAAACCTCTTCTCCCACCTCAGTGCTTGAGAAGACCAAGGTAATTCCAGCAGAGATGGGAGAGCAAGAGCGCCCAGACTCGGATAGAAGGGGCCCTACCCGGGAAGAGCCTTTCCATTCGCCCCTTTGGCCCAGGGCCCCTGGCTAGGGCAGTAAGGAGCGGTCATCCAAGTGCCCTGCTCCCTCCTGGCTTTGCCAGATTCAGGCTTACACAGCTGGACACACCTGGCTCTGAAACTCTGGCACAGCGAGGCCCCTGATTGCCAGGACCTCCTTCTTTGTCTCACCCACCCAGGGGGCGGGAGGGAGGAGTCAAAGATGGGACCCTGTCCTCTGAGCCTGAACCTTAATTCTAGTGGCTTCTTGCAGATACATTGCGAGCCTCCCGAACGGCTGAATGAGAAGATGCTCATCCTGAACCTCACAAAAACCAGCCTCTGTGTGAGTGCCTCGCCCACCCTGATTTTCACCTCAAATGCAGTTTAGCAGCAGGGTTCAGGAAGGTAGAATACAATGAGGTGTTCCTTCAGAAATGGGACTGAGAGATGTGTTCACTTTCCTGGCTTTGCTTTGTCCCAGTAGGAAGGAGCCCCATCCCATCTGAGGGACCAGGGAGGTTCAGGCTTTGCTAAGTGAAACCCACCCCCAGGGCTGCTGCAGGGCCAGAAGCACCAGGTGTCCTGGGCTTTCGCTCTGTAACTGTTCACATGCTCTGAACGCCCGGAGAGCCCAATCCTAGCTCTTCTTTGCCTCTAGCTCTGGGTAACTTTAAGTCTATCTCTGTGGGCTTCCAGACCTCAATTATGAACGAGAGGCTTCATTTGCCTAACTCTCCCTGTTCTTATCATCTGGTTGTCTGTTTCCTGGTCCGTGGCCTCAGTGGAAGAACAGCATGGAGAGAATGTTCCACTAGCCCGAGGAGTCAGAGCTGCTGAGGATCAGAGAGCCATTGCCAGCAGCTGTTCTTCCACTCAGGGTGGTGGGTGTGTATATTGGCATGTGTGTGAGTGTAGCAGTGTGTGCCTTCCAACTGCCAGTCTCTCTAAGATTAAGAGTTTTACTCAGGCCCGGCTGGTGTGGCTTAGCGGTTGAGCATCGACCAAGGATCCAGGGGATGGAGGTTCGATTCCTGGTCAGGGCACATGCCCGGGTTGTGGGCTCGATCCCCAGTCGGGGGCATGCAGGAGGCAGCCGATCAATGACTCATCACTGATGTTTCTGTTTCTCTCTCTCCCTCTTCCTCTCTCTGAAATCAGTAAAAGATTATATATATATATATATATATATATATAAAAGAAAAAAGAAAAAGAGTTTTACTCAGTAAATGGCAGAGCCCTCCGAGTGCAGGCGAGGGACGGCTCACTGCTGCCCTCTCCTGGCCGGTGCCTGTTTTTGCAAACACCCCTAGGAACTAGAAGAGAACATGGTTTCTAAAGGATGGAGAACTTGGGTTTACACCACTTTAATACCACTTGTATTTTCTGCACTTGTTTCCTTTTGGGTGTCCATTTTGCTGCCATTTTCCAAGTGAATTTTACAAAAGCATACGTTTAGACCAGAGTTTTAAAAGGGAGCAGTTTTCCCCTGAGGCTGGGGCTGCTGGACCAGGCACAAATCACGTTGTTGGCAGGCTGTCACTGGGAGTGAGAAGCATTTTTCCTGTTGCTATGAGGGAAGGTGGAAAGCCCTGGATCCCTACCTGGTGTCAGGCTGGGGAACTAGTACGCCTAAGGAAATTCCAGGTAGAAACCCAGCAGATGGTTTGGGGGGGTCCTGAGGTAAGCCAAACCAAGAGTCCTTTCTTCATCTCGGCCCCTTACTCCAAAATCAGGGCAGAGGAACAGCAGCCCGGGGCCTCTAGATGGCATGGCAGGATTGGGTAAAAGCTGCCCAAACTGTCTTCTTCACCCTCTGCCCTAAAGCCATGTCCGCCATGCTCTTTCTGCTTAGAAATATGGAAAGCTCCCGTCCTGGCCGGGTGGCTCAGTCAGGTGGAGTGGCATCCCATACACCAAAGGTTGCGGGTTAGATTCCGGTCAGGGCACATAGCTAGGTTGTGGGTTAGGACGCAAACAGGAGGCAATCAATCCATGTTCCTCTCTCTTTCTCTCTTTTTCTCTCTCTCTTCCTCTCTCTCTAAAATCAGTAAAAACATATTCTTGGGTAAGGATTCAAAAAATAAAGAAAAAAGAAATACGGAAAGCTCCCTTCCAAGATGCCCCTCCCCTGCGCATCTTCAAGATACTCCCATGCTCCCCTGTTCAGTGACGGCCCCGCCTTTCTTGCTGTCAGCCTGCTTTTGGTTTCAGAGGGTCTTAGCCTAGGGTATGGGCGCATGTTTCAACTCTGGGATAAATAACCTTGAAGTGGGAGCTGTGGCCTCCTCTCCTGAGGTCTCTGAACTGGGCATCAAGGCTAGAGAGAGGCAGAGAGAGAACTGGTCTTTCCCACTCGCAGTAGAGTGGGGTTTCCAGGCGGCACCTCCTGGAGAGAGATGATAAAGGTATTAGGTCGTGATCCTTAAAGAGCTTTGAGGGAGAAAGGGGCACTAGGGTGGAAGGCATTGTTCAACCATGGACAAGATAAACTGGGTGAGGGGACAGGGGGCAGAGATGTGCATGGGGCATGGAGGGCAGGGTCCGGTCCTGCAGACATCATCTACCTCATGACCCCTGGCAGGCCTGGGGACGGCACCAGTTGAGGCTGGAGAGGGAAACAGGTTTGTGTTGGCACCAGCACTCTCTGGTTGTGGTTCTGAAGGGCAGCCCCACAAGCCCAGGCTGCTGTCGGGCTCCCTGAGGACTCACCTGTGGTCTCTGTCACCAGGCGGTGAGCCCGGAGAAGCCTCCGGATAACAAGCTGGTCACACTTCTGTGCCGAGCAGCAAAGACCAACTTCAACGCAAGTCAAGACCAGTGCGATGTACGGCTGATCCCTGTTCCAGAAATCCAGGCACTGGCAATCAAGGACATCACTATCCAGAGTGAGTTGGGGGCAAAGAGGGGCTGAGCCCTTTGTGGGGTGGGGATGGGGAGGGGGGTGACAGCTCAGGAGCCACGGAGATGGGTCAACGCTTGTACTCCCTCAGTACCTTTAAGAATTGTCAAGCCATCCCCCCTCCCAGGCTACCCCAGAGACGCCACTCAGGAGGCAGAGATACAGCATGTACTCCTGTCGGGGCCCGTCTCTGTCCCCAACCAGGTCACTCTGAGCTAGGCCACTGAAGCAGTCTCTCCCTCCTCCCACAGCCAACTTCCTGCCCCAGACCATATACGAATCGCTGAAAGACAAGTGGGATGACCTAAGGGAGGTAAGTGGGTTCCTCCCACGTGCAGGGACGGATTGGAAGTCCCAGTTACTTTGCTCCACATGTCTCTCCTTGTAGAGGAACCTCTCATTTGTAAGCATCTAGAGAGAGGGGACAGCAGGGTGGTGTCATAGGCCCCACCCAACCGTACGCAGAATGGGAGTTCAGAGGGAGAGTGGCCCGGCACCTGTTTTTCCTGGCTAGGTGGGAGTCAGTAACATGCAGCTTGGGGATCAAGGACCACCGGAGGAGACCGAGGACCGGTTCAGCATGCCCCTCATCATCACCATCGTCTGCATGGCATCCTTCCTGCTCCTCGTGGCAGCCCTCTATGGCTGCTGCCACCAGCGCCTCTCTCAGAGGAAGGACCAGGTGAGGACAGGGAACCCCCCAGCCCCTCAGGTGCTTCCCATCCCATTCATTCTTCCCATATTAGAGGAAAGTGAATGGCCTCGGACCCAGGCAGACATCAGCCCTTCTAGAAAATAGACACTTAACATGGAAAATTTAAGCGGCAGCACGGTGGAAGTCAGAGAGACTGGGTTTAAGCCCTCGCTCTGCCTCTCGTCTGTGACCTTGAGCAAGTCATATCGTCTCTGAGTGGCAGGCTCCTCATCTGCGTAACGGGGAGAATATCCACCCGTGGAGCTGCTGAGGAGTCACTGATGTCAGGGGGGCCTGTCGAGCCAGGGGTTCTCTACCCACCTCACTAGCGTCGCCATCGTTACGCTTCCACCCAGACTCTGCTGCTCCCCTGGCGGCGCGCTTGGGCGAGCCTGACAACGTTCCCATGCCTACCTCCCCACACAGCGGTCGAAACAATCTCTGGGTCAGTGCGTTTGTTACAAGCTTCCCAGGCGACCCTACTGTGCACCCAGGTTGTGTCCCAGATAGAGACGGAGCGCAAGCACCGTCTCCAGACGGCTCCTGTCCGCAGCAGAGGCGCCCGGGAGCTGTGCTGTGCCTGCCTCGCTCAGGCTTAAAGCGGTTGGTCCTCGGCCACCCCATCTGAAGCAAGTGTTTTTCTTACAGTCCTTCCCAGCTCAGGACAGTGGGGTGACGCAGGTGCTGGAGAGGCAGGTCTGTGGGGCGGGAAGGGAGGAGGGAGTCTAGGCCCATTTCCACTGACTTCATGGGTTTGCCAGCAGGTGGAGGTAGGTGAGCTGGGAGTTTTAGGGAGCCCTTGTCTCCAGCCGGCCCTGAGGCAGGCCCTGAGTCATCAGTAGTCAGGGTGGCCTCCAAGAGCACTTACCGCTCACATCAGCCACACGGGGGTCCCTGGAGTATAGGGGTACCCGTGTGGCATGAAGGCTAACAGCCCTCACTAACTACCCCTCCTTCCTGGCTCATCTCTCCCATCCAGCAACGACTCACGGAGGAGCTGCAGACCGTGGAGAACGGTTACCATGACAATCCAACACTGGAAGTGATGGAGACCTCATCAGAGATGCAGGAGAAAAAGGTGGTCAACCTTAATGGGGAGCTGGGGGACAGCTGGATCGTCCCCCTGGACAACCTGATCAAAGATGACCTGGAAGAGGAGGAAGACACACACCTCTAAGCGGGTCTGCTGGCGGCCGCCCAGTGCACGGAGCTCCAGATCGAACCACAAGTGCCAATCGGACAGGGGAGGAGAGTCCTCCCCACTGGAGGGAAAGACTGCGGGTGGGGGGTGAGCAGACTCGGAGGGACCCGCCTCCCAATCCCCACAGGGCCTTAATTTTTCCCTTTCCAAGCTGAACAAATCATATTCTGTCTAGATTCCTCTTGTAAAATAACCCACTAGTGCCTGAGCTCAGTGCTGCTGGGAGAGGAAGAGAAATGAAAGAGCTGTGTAAGGGACTTTAGAGACCATCTCGAATCCCTTCCTTTCTCAGGTGAGATGACTGAGGCCTACAGAAGGTAAGGTCAGGATCACACAGCCGCTTGGAGTCAGCCAGGGTGAAGACAGGCTCCTTCTGCAGTCCGGTGCTCGCTCCCACCTCGCCACACTGCTCTGTCCCCTGCGCCCCCCCCCCAGCTGCCCCGGGCAGGGGTGAAGCTGCAGTCTATGGATGGCGTAGAAGGGAGAGCAGGGCCAGATCCTGTCTCTGGGGGATCTGCTTACTTGAAAGTATAGGTCCCAAGTTCAGTTTCCTACCCCAGCCTCATCTGTCAGTGTTCCCATCCCCTTTGCTCTGCCCCCTCTCTTCACTCAGTTTTTATTCCCACTGTCTCAGCGCCCTGGGACTAACGCAAGTCATTCATCACCCTGAGACCCTTGTTCTGAATTCTGGTTTCTTGGCATTTACTGAGAGGGGTTCAGACTTAACCCACACAAGACCCCCAGTGTGAACAAGGTCTGTTTAGGGGTCTATCTACAGAGAACAGCAGGGGAGCCTCTCCTCCCAGGATGGGTCCTAGCCCATCACCCAAGGCGCTCCTTGAAGAGGCTCCCAAGTGTCCCTTTGGCCTCCCCTTTCCACTGGGAACTAAAATCCACAGCAGCTACTGAAAGCAAAGTGTTCCTATTTTGTTGCTCACTGCTCACCCAATGGGGATGAGACCCAAGCTAGGGAAACGCCCCCACCCCCCAAGATCTGTGTGAATGAGCAGCTTCAGGAAGGACTTTCCCGGGCCCTAGTCAGCGGAGAGGTGTCCTGACAGACAATCAGTTGAAACAGCCAGGAAGGATCGACTTGCTATTTCATAGGAAACTCAGGGACTTCTCAAGTTGCTGAGAGTTTTGTTACTTTGATGTATTTGTTTGTTTTTTTAATGTAGCCCTCTACTGCCAAAGGCCAAAACTCAAATTATAGAGAGACTCTTAGTTAGGTAATCTCAGTGACTGTGAGTCTCCAGAGCCACAGGGCAAGAGAGACTGANGGAGACTCTTAGTTAGGTCATCTCAGTGACTGTGAGTCTCCAGAGCCACAGGGCAGGAGAGGCTGAGAATGTGCCGTGTGCATTTTAAGGTGCACATGGGGCAGCCTGGGGGACTGGGTGTCTGTCTAATCCCAGTAACCTTACTGTCCCGCCTTGGAACCCTGTCCTCTTCTCTGCAGTCCTAGTGGGGCTGCCCAGTTATCCTGAAGTTTCTGGTGGCATCTCAGGGAAACAAAATATCGCCTATTCCTCAGTGGAGGGGTGTTGAGGGAGCTCAGCAGTTTGCTGCCACGTACAAGGCACCTGAGGACTGGGCATAGTGAGGTTTAATCTGGTTTTCTGAGAAGAGAGAATCCTGTGTGAAATTTTGAACTTTGCCCAAGGTCTCTTGTTCCTGGACATAAATTCCCTGGAAGCAGCTAGAAAGATGGGCAGAACTGCTGAGGAGATTGAAAGCAAGCCAGGACTCCAGAACCTAGAGGCAGGCCCAGGCTGCGACAGCTCTGATGAAATAGGCTCTTTGCTTTGGGATAGGTTTTTTGTTGTTTAAAGGGGAGGAGCTGAGGGGGAAGATTTATATCATAGCCTTTTAGCCCTTTGGCCTTGGGGTTCAAGTTGGCGCCCAAGAGCTAGAGAGATGCTAGGCTAACAAGGATACAAAAGCATTTGCCCCGATCCTCTAGTGTGCAGACGTTGGCAGGATAGAGAACAGTGCTATTTTGGGGAAACAGAGGAAATCTTGGCATGCTGGAAAAAGATGTTTGCTTCCTTCCTGCCCAGCATTTGGTTCTTTCTACCCAGTGGGTTTCTGTGATGGCCTCTGTGGCAGAGGCCAGGGGTTTCCTCCTTTGCTGATTCTGGGTCGTTTCCCCGGCCAGGCCTTTAGACAGAGACAACAAATATTGAAAAATTGACCAAGGGCTGCTACCCCCAGGCTGCTAGGAGTGAGAGATGATGCCCAGCAAGGACTGGAGAGTAAAAAGTATGCTTGGTCAACAGGAACAACTGTGGCTGTGCCCAAGGAGATACTGGAGAAGCTTTGGGCTCATTTGGGGGTTCACTTTTTTGGTGCATCCCAACTGTGTTACACTAGCCTTTTAGGGCAACTTCAGAATCCAATACCTTGCCTTGGCTTGCTCTTGCCACTAGACATTTATGTCAGAGGCCATACAGTCATGCACCTGGAAAGGTCTCCTTCTCATCTCTTTCCTGGGTTCTAACTGCTGTGGGTAATTCAGATTCTGGGGCTGAGGAGAGGAGGCACACCGGGAACTTAGCATGACTTTTAACAAGTACTAAAGATGGACCGTAAACTCTTTATTCGGTGATACACCGGTTTCCCTAAGGTGCGTAAAAGGCTAGAAGCCACAAATCTGGTGATTGGACAAATCCTGTGGGAAGCATGCTGCCAGGGGAGCGGGCAGAGAAGCCTCAAAGCTTTAGAAGGATGAACAGAATATTCTGGAATCATTAAGACAGAATACGGGTTTCATCTAGACAGATTCCTTTCCCCCCTCTTAATAAGGAGAGCTAGCAGAAAGTTTATTTAAACCACTTCGGAGCTTTTTCCTCTTTGACAATATGCTGGAGAAACTTTGAAAGACAAGTTCAGGCTGACAGTTATATACATATTTTGGTAATGTACATACAGTAGCCACGTTAATCCACCCAGCTCTGCTTTAGGCGAATATACTTTGAAAAACATCTGTGAGAGAGATGGCTGTTTTCCTCTCTGAACAGGAATGTGTCTATTTTACTAGAAATGACAAGTTTTTGCTTGATTTTTTCTTTAATGAAAAGTGAAATGTAAGACAGACTGATGACAAAGTACTTGTCTGGCATATTGGGCATTTTTATTTGAAATGCGATCCTCACACCCCGCTAGCAAGTCCCGGCGTTACAGTGAGTGCTGCTGTCAACATGCACTGGTTGGAAAGTGACACTCCAGTCACAGGGAGGGGGTTGTAGGGATCTAGTCCAATCATCATTTTGTTTTTAAACAGAAAACCTGAAGCCCAGAAAGATAAAGTGACTTGGCCCAAATCACATGGTTAGTGGCAGAAACAGGATTAAAACCTGGGTTGGAAGACCGTCCAGAGCTGTGTGCCTCAGAATCAATAAATGCAGGACCGCTGACTGAGCACAGGTACCCGGATGACAAAGGACAGAATTCCCTTCTTGAATCTTGTCCTGCAGCAAGGGGAGGGAGGGCGTGAAGACAGCAATAGGAACCTTACTGATCTACACTTTCTCTGAGTTATTTAGGTCTAAGACTTAAATGAACAATTCCTTTCTGTCAAGAAAACAGTTTTGAATGAACTGTTAAAATATGCACCTGCTACTAGTGGACCACGGATCAAAGGGAACAAGCCAGAGGAAGTCATTTCCCTCAGGCCTGGTGCAAACCCAACACCGAGGGAAAGGAGGGGGTCACTATTAGACGTGGGTCTTTGTGTTATTAGTGAATGTTAAAGTTTGCCCAGGAGACTGGGGGAGCACTGTTTGGTGGTGGACAGGGGTCTGATGTACACTGGAATTTACTGAGAATTTATTTCTTTGTAAAGGCTATACTTAATTATTGCCATTTTCTTACAAAAATATATTTTTGAGAACTGCATACTGTCAATTAAAGTGCTTTTGTGTAACTGGTTCGGGTCCCAGTATTGTGCTGATTGTGAGCCTGGTCACTGGGCCAAGTGCAGCCACCTCTGTGAGCTGCGCCTGCTGAGCCTCTGGGTCCAGAGTAAAGAGGAAGGAAGCTGAAAGGAAGGGAAGGGGGAGAGGGAGCCTGGAGGTGCGGCCCCCAGATGTCCCCCGGCTGCGCTAGTGCTCGTAACATGAGCCCCTCACAACACGGTTTTATCAGTTTCACCTCTTCCTTCCTTCTAATTCTGCTTCAGATACAACTGTGAACCACCCAGCACTAAACCCCGATCCAGTATGAAAACCCTGATGGAGACAAAACAAACAAAAATATAAAAATAAACGGAGGTTCTGTACTGGCCCTGTTCCTGCCCACAAAAAGATCTGTCACAAGCAGCCTCTGCCTGTCCCCCAACCACTCGAAGATGACTTGACTCTCTTCCTCTAGGGGGGTGTGATCTACCTGCGTCCTTGCCGGAAGGGAAGAGCTGTCAGTCCCAGCTTCCAGAGGGAAACTGTCAGGCGGGTCTGGTCCACTCCGTAGTTGCTACACAATCTCTTCCATTTGCCTGACATCTGAGTTTACAAATCATTTTTACATATCTTATGTAGGAACTATCGCCACTCTACCAGGAGAGAAATGAGGCACAAAGATTACAGATTCCGGTGGACTTTCCTCTTTTATTCCCTACGTTCTTTTTTTCAATACCACATTAACACTTGAGCTCTAACAACAAAATACATTTCTAGAATGCAACCACTGTTACCATACGATTTTGTGTGAGAGCTCTGAAAGGCAGGTAACGCGTAGGGGTGGACCAGAGTTGGAAAGGGGTATTTCGAGGTTAACTCCAAGAGCGGGCCAAGGGTACTGAAAGGAATACAAGTACCAGGAACTCGGCAGGCCCCGGGCTTTGCTCAAGGCACTCTAAGAAGAGAATGACTCATAGTTTATTGCTGGCTACAAATTAGACCTAAGACTCCATTCTCTTCCTGAATAGGTCATTCACCCCCCTCCCTGCCCTACCAACCCTAGGCCACTCTCAGTTGTCATTTTTAATTTGTTATGCCTCTTTACCACTCAGTCTTCCCCATCCTTTCTTCTGGACCCCAAGGGAAAGAGTAAAGAATAGGGCTGGCTATTATAATTAACACTAGTGATAAATACTGAGATAGCTAATATTTTTCAAGGACCCTGGCATATTATAGATTAAAAAGTCAACGGGATCCTGGCAAACAGAATCTGCTGCCAACATTTACTTAAGAGATGAGAAAGTGAGGCAGAGAAGTTGAGACTGTGCCCAATACTACAAGACATCACTGGTGGATCTGGAAATAAACCTGGGCTCCCCATTCCTACCGCTCCAGCTCAGAGACCAGCTGTACATTCTATGCAACAGACATTGCCAAGGGTACTAATCTCCCCTCTTGGGGTTTGCCAACCATCAGAATATATCAGCACAGCAGTGGACAGGCCACCTCTACCTATAGCTTTTCTTTGAACCCTGGAAGAATGTTTCTAGATGTAACTGATGGCTTTGCTTTTCCCAGGTGAAAGCCGAGGGAGGAAAGGCCCCCGTGAGCAAGAGTGATAGGATAGTCCAAGCATCCTCCTCGGCCCACATTCCCTATGCCACAAAAAGCCCCAAGTATCTCCTCTCCCTCCCTTTTCTCCTTCCAAAACATGTAAAGGCAAAGGAGACTATGTCATGCCAAAGGAGAAAACTGTCACCAGCTGGTATTTAAGCCTGTACCAAGACTAGCTATTGGTCAGCCTTTTGCTCTCACACCTTCAAAATCTGAAGGGCCAATGGTAAATACTGCTTTCACTTACAGAAAAAAATTTTCAAATTTCTATGAACTCTGTGGCTGTATGGCACACACTGGCCATTTCCCTATTAGGTGCTGGGTGACCTCGGTAACTAGAAGCTCCGGAGGTAGCACTTCCAATCCCTTTAGGTCTCCACACTCAGGGTGGGAGCAGAGCAGCTGGCATTGCAACTGAGTTCAACACAAAGCCCTCACTGCTTTGGCTGTCTTCCTGCCAGAAGCCCAATATATCAAGGGAGAGGAGACTGTATCCCACATTTCGATCCGTTTGAGTTAATTCTTTGGAGGATTGACCAAGGGAAGGCCAATTCCTTACCTCATCACTTTGTGTTTCCCTGTTTTGAAAACAAATGCTACTTATGAACCATGCTCAACGCACTCAAGAAATGAAAATGATACAGCAAGATTGATCATTTGATTTGTAAATTGAGAAAATATAATTCTTATTTTGAATGAAAAACTAATTCACTGCAGAGTGTCAGATGACTAAGCCAAGAAAATGTAAACCAGATCAG